GATCCCTGGTACCACAAAAAAAAAAAAAAAGCAAGAGGGCAAAAATAAACATCAATCTCTGTTCCATATAATAAACCACTAGTCTAGAGATCAGATAAAAACTGATTTTGTGCTCCACCTATCACTGTCACTGGGTTTCAGTCTTCTCTTAAGATACCACACACTTGTGAAGCACTTGGCTGGGGTTGTGGTACAGCCTGCAGCCAAAAAAACTAAAGCTATTTGGAATGGAACCAATGGTCACTTTCCAAACAGCTGGTTATTTCTAGTAATGTTTCCATGAAATTTCAGTATAGAGCCATCCATGTTTCACTGCAAACTGTTACCTTAAAAACAAGAGAAAAAAAAAAACAAACCTCACTAATGTAGTCCAATTGTCCTTAAGTGTAAACAAATCTTACAAATGGGGGCAGGGCCCAATTTAACACAGCTGGGAGGGGCTCTACAGAGCAGCTAAACTGGCACCACTGATTTGGAACCACAGCTGTAGGTGACAGAATCAGACTTTAAAGCTGCTTAGAAGCTGAACAGATTCAAACATTTATTCCATAAATGGGATTTTAAATTAAGGGCTTATGGTCTCATTATAGCAATAGTTAACTCTTACGCTGTAAGATATTATCAGGTACAGGAGGGGTTTTTTAAAATTGTTTTTGGTTTTCTTGAGACAGGGTCTCCTTAAGTGGTCCAGACTGGCCCTGAATTCACAATCCTCCTGCCTCAGCCTCCTGAGTGTTAGGTTTACAGGTATGCAAGTAATTATAAGCTTTACACCTATTTACTCTAATCCTCACAACAAATCTGAGGCCAAGTAACTTGCCCAAGGTCACACAGCTATTAAGTGACCAAGCCAGAATTCAAATCCAAGCAATCCAGCTACAGAATCTATACTCTTAAACCACCAGGCTTTATTGCTTCTCTGTATAGTTTTAATTAAAACAGTGCTCTTTCAGAACTAACCCTCCATACTCCTTTTTTCTCAATCCCACCATGATAAATGAACTGCAAAACCTGTGACTGAAAAGTTCATGTTCGCAACATTATGTAATCTAAATTTCGTATGCAAAATTTGCGTCTTTTCTAGGAAAGGAAAAGATACAGTGGCCAGTCTGCAAATAGCTGTTTCTTATTACCTAAAAAATAAGGAATTAAGCTACTAGTACTTTTGCTGAGAACATCAAGATGCATAAAGCCACTGAGCTGAGTTAAAGGCAGGAACGGCCCTGTTTATTTCCAGTCTCTTAACTTATTCTGGCTTACGCGTGTTTACGCATCTGACTATAAGCGGTAAGTAGCAAAGACAAAAATGGGGCCGAGGAGGTTATCACTCCATCTCTCCAAAGTTGGGAGGCTTAGACTCAGGGCCCCTGTGCTAGAATTTATAATCAGTATTGCACACCATTTCTACCCGGCCGGCTCAGTGCCCCCAGCAGGGAGGTGGCTACGTGGCTCTTGGAGGCCTTTCAGAGAGGAGGCGGCAGGCGTTTCCCGGGCAGCCCCCAGAAGGGCAAAGTCTGGGGCGCACTGCCCGGAGGCGCTGTGGGGTCAGGGCCCGCCTGCGCCCCTCAGCCTCTACACCCAGCCCTGTCGAAGCCGCCTCTCTACCTCAAGGGTCTGTGGGCACTCGGGGAGGCGACCCGACTCCTGAGGTAAAGGCACCCGGGGAAGACACAATGCTCAGCGGGACACTCACCAGGTTGAGGGGTCCTTCCATTACTTCCATAGACCCCGGAATAAACGGTGGCCTGAGGAAGGGAAGCCGCGGCGCCGGGGCACATGGAGGGCAGGAGAAGAAGACCGTGACGCGGCGGCAGAGACCGCAGACCCACTCCGCGCTCAGTGAGCCACCGGTGGTCTCTGAGAGAGCAACAACCACACCACTTCCTCCTCCGGCGCCTCGCTGCGAGCCCGCCCCCTGCGCCGCCGCTGTAGACACGCACGGCGTCATGACGTCACGCGAGCCAGCGGTTCGTTCAAGGTGGGAATGAGGACGAGCACTGGGTGGGGCTTGGAGAAGGCTTGCGTCCAGACAGCCGTGCGCTTGCGCGCGGCCAATTTTTCCTCTCGCGAGAGTCCATCATCGGCTTCTTGAAGTCGACTCTGACGTCACTTGAGGAGGCAAAGCCTTGGTACTTGTAAAGTGCCTGTTCCTCGTCCCCTATGTTGGCTTCCTGCTCTACTTAGCTACACCCTCTCTTCCTCTCTCATTCCCATCTTTATCCATGTACCTGTTGATTTTTCCAAAAAGCAGATTAAAAAAAAAAAGAAACCATGCACTAGATCACCTTGGAAATTGACAGATGAATGATTTAGGGCTCTGCCATAAAGTTGCTCACACTAAGAAAATAGGTAAACAACATGAGCCAGCCTCACCCAAACTGAAAAATTTATAGACAAGGAGTTATTTGAAATTAAATGGTGGCAAGAGGAAAGGAGAAGTAAAGATGATCAAGATGTGATATGTGTATATATACCAATTCCCCATGCTGAATGTAGTTCTGTATCGCAAACATACTAATACAAATTAAAAATAGGAAAGGGCCGGGGATTTAGCAAAGTGGTTCCACCGCCTGCCTCGAAAGCATAAGGTCCCAAGTTCGATCCCCGGTACCAAAAGAGGAAAAAAATAGGAAACCCGAAATTAAATTGTGACATACATACCCAAGAAATATAGTGGGGATTTGATCTCTGTAAATCTTGTGCTAGGCATGGTGGTGTGCACCTATAATCCCAGCACTCGGGAGGCTGAAGCAGAAAGATCACTGCTAGTTTCAGGCCAGCGTGGGCTACAGAGTGAATTCAAGGTCAGTCTGAAGTACATAGTGAGACCTTGTCTCAACCCCCCCCCCAAAAAAGAAAGAAACCTTAAAGAACCAACTAACTGCCATTCCAGGGGGGAAAAATCAATACTTAAATCTCTAAAGCTGAATTTTAAAAAAGTTGCAGCATCCTTAGGATGCAAGAGAGGGGCAAAAGAAAATGTCAAAGAGATAGGAAAGTTACAGAACATAAATGGCCTTACTTGCCATCGTAATGCATAATGAAGCATTTGAATTTTATTCCAAAGTGCATTGGGAAATAAGTGAATTTTTAAAAAATATGCTAAGGATCAAACCCAGCCCTGATACATGTTAGGCAAGTGGCCCCGAGTGAAGGACTTTAAACTAGGGAGTGACCCACTTTAATGTGCAGGGAGGTTTTGTTTTGTTTCATTTTTTGTTTTGGATTTTTTTGTTTTTCTTTTTGAGACAGGGTCTTGCTATGTAGTTCAGGCTGGCCTTGGACTCACTATGTAGCCCCAGGGGATCCTCCTGCCTCAGCCTCCCAAATGCTGGGATCACAGGCATGTGCCACCATTGTGGGACTGCATAACTCTAATCATAAAACTCCCCTAGCACCAACTGTGATTGAATGTGAGTAAATAGAAAAAGATGCTTGTTAGCTCCCGGATACTAGATAAGATCTGTATCAGCTGTGGGACTGTGTGATTCAAAAGTTAATTACTCCCCTAGGTTCTGTTGTAAATTTGATGGTTGGAGTGTGTTTGCCTCAGGACAATGGACAATCAGTAATAGGGCAAGATTACTCAGCCATCTGTTTGCCCTAAAACCAAATGTCCCAGGGCCCAGTATCTGTAGGACAATCTGTAAATGTGCTGACTATCCACACAGGGTGGTCGTGACTATTAGTCAGGATGTCTGCTGACCATCAGCATGTGACAGTGAGCCACTAACCTTTGTTCTTTTCTTTCTGTAAATCTACATGTTAACCACCCCCCTCAACCCCCTATAAAACAGCCTCGGACTCTGAGCCAGTTGCCTCTCTAAGCTATTTTGCTTTGGGAGTGCCGTCTGGCCAGACTAATAAAGGTCTGTTTCCCAACATGGCCGGTGTGTTCCTTCCCGGGTGGTCTTCGCTGTAGTCAGCTCCTTGGAGCATTTGGTAAGGCCTTGGTCTTACATTCTGGAGGCACCGCTGGGATCCCCGGGTGTGCTCCACTTCAGCTCCTTGGAGCATTTGGTAAGGCCCTTGGCCTTGCATTCTGGAGGCACCACTGGGATCCCTGGGTGTGCTTCACTATAGTCAGCTCCTCGGAGCGTTTGGTAAGGCCCTTGGTCTTACACAGCCATAAGGTCCCAAAGTAAATTACTCAACTCTTTGTTCAAAAACTGATGTTAGGACACCACTATCTATAGAACAATCTACAAACATCTGCTGACCATCAGTACGTGTCAGCTGACCACTAACTTTTGTTCCTCTTCTGTAAATTTCACCTGTTAACTTCCCCTGCAACCCCCTATAAAAGAGCCTCGGTCACCTCTCTAAGCTACTTTGCTTTGGGAGTGCCATCTGGCCAGACTAAAGTCTGTTTTACTTTCCAACTTGTCCAGTGTGTTCCTTTCCGGTGTGTTCCTTCCCGGGTGTGCTTCACTGCAGTCAGCTCCTCAGAGCGTTTGGTAAGGCCCTCCGTCTTACACCATGCCTGGCTTCGATGTGCAGTTCTCAAAAGATTACTTTCCCTGCAATGTGAATAAGACTGTAAGGAAATTTGGATAAAAGAACCAAAATTAACTACTTAAGTGATTAATTTTGGCAGCTCAGAATGCTTTAGCAGGAAAGTTCATTCATGCATTCACTGTTCATAGTTATTTTGTTTCATCCATGTGCCAGAAACTTTAAGAGAAGTACATATGTTCATGATATATTTTGGGGCACAGAGTTGAAAGGACTTGGTGATGGATGGGAATGTTATGGCTGGATGTGGGCTGTAAGCCATGGCTCTGGTGGAAAACACAGCTCCCCATATCAGTACAGAATTAAGCCAAGTTTAAGAGCAGTTTATTTAAAGGTGGAGAAACGGGGAAGAGAAAGACGATACTCCTTCAGTAGGGAGCATTCAAAACCAAAATGATAGGTCTCCCACCACCTCAGCAGCTATTATGTATAGTAGCTGCCCTCTTCCTATCCTGCTTTGGCCCCTCCCCTGTGTGACATCATGCCAAGATGGTTGCTCCCACCAAAGAATAAACCCTTCTTCCCAGCATGCCCCTGTTCCCCCCTAGAAAGTAACCTAATACTCACCTCCTACCACCTAGTGACATCACCGGCTCCTCCATTCCCTAGTCACTACCTGACTCAACCCCACCTCATCCCCTACAAACCCCACCCCAGTCTCTATAAAAGATTCTCCCCGCCCCAGCCATGTTTCTTTTGTCTCTCCTTTGTTCAGAGACAGCCCGGCAGATCTATTCCCCTAATAAAGGCTTGTTGTGGCCTGGTCTGGTCTTGGTTTTTGGCCCTTTTACCTGACACAAAATACTCTTGGACTGGGTTCTAAAGCTGTTTTTGTTTGATTTCTTCTTCCTGTGTGGGCTCCTGGAACCTGATTTGCTACATGGCTGCTTTTGGTCCTTCCCTTGGATTAGTTTGGGTCATATGCAGTCATATGACTTCCTGTTATTTGGTGGAGGCTAGGATTATGGGTGGGGGGGCTTGGGGAGAAGTAGTTTAGGTTTAAATATTAAGTAAAGGGGCGTATGTGGATTGAGCTCCGGGAGTTAAGTTTCTTTGCCTTTGTCTTTCTGATTGCTAGAGGCAGAAGACTCCGCCCTTATTAAATCTCTCCATTAACTTCTAACAAAGCTCAGCAAGGTCTTCATCCTATTTTTTTCCTACCTACCTGTCCCTACAGGAAGAAGAAGAAAAACCGCCAGGAGTTACAGGCTTCAAAAAAAAAAAAAATCCTTTCAGAAGCCATGTGAACTCTGAAGCAAGTCCCCAAACCTCAGGTGAAACCCAGCCTGAACTATACCTCGATCTCAGCCATGTGAGACTCAGAGCAGTAGACCATGCAAGCCATATGTGTAGGTTGTTTTAAGCTTCGATATTTGTTATGTTCCCTAGAAAACTATTATACACTCCTTCAAGAGGATAGAAGTTACAGGCAGAACATGATAAACAAAACAAAAACATGAGTAGTGAATTCATGTTTCTACCCTACTCAACCCGCAATAGCCCGCTGGGCAGGGGGCATGTGTGTAATGACATTAAGAGGGGCTTTAGCAACAACTTGACAAGGAGAGTATGATGCCTCAAAGTTCACAACATGTACACTGATGTTTTAGAGCAACTTCATCCAGATGAGCAGGAAAGAAGAAATGATAAGTATACACATCGGTGTCCAAAGGATGACCTTGGGCACCAGTCCAGCAATCCCATCATCTACCACTTGATCCCATGCCATTGGCAACCAGTCCCAGTCTCCACAGAGGGTGTCAAACCTGGCCAGGACTATAAGGAAGTCAGCATAATCCTATAAAGATTTAAGCATTCTTCTTTTGAAGTTTGGAAAACAGATCTATGCCTGAAGCTTGCCTCTGGCTGTTCTTTGTACTTGTTGAGGCATCTTTTAAAATAATAAAGAAGACTCCTTTGCTTATCAGAGAAATTCCGTTCATCTCCTGAGACTACCAGTGAAAGTTTACTGAAATCCCAAGGCTACCAGAGCTGGGCACACAGTGAACACACCTATTTATTGAATGAGACAAAGAGCTCCTGAAAAAAAGCATCTGAAATGAACAGACACTTCTCAGATGAAGAAGCAGAAACAGCAAATAAATATATTAAAAAATGTTCAATATCACTGGTCATTTGAGAGATGCAAATTAAAACAACTCAAGAACCAGGAGAGATTATGTAAAGGTGCAAATTTCCAATGATGAATGTCATTATATTGTATACCTAACATGTACCACTAAAAAAAAACCCTCAGATTCCATCTCACTCCACAAAGAATGGCTGCTATCAAGAAACCAACCAATAACAAATGCTGGCGGGTCTGTGGGGAAAAAGGAACCCTTCTCCACTGTTGGTAGGAGTGTAGACTGGTGCAACCCCTGTGGAAATCAGTGTGGAGATTCCTCAAAA